GGGATTAAGTACCTTTATCAGAACAACTACGCTTCACACACTCGCTCGACGATGTACCCACACTATAATATCAGTAGTATACATTACGACCATTACAAAATTTGGCGTGTAGCAAACATAATTATGATAATCGACAGGAAACACATAAACAACCATCTCACAGAGATGAGATGATTGCTGAGGAACCACTTCATGTACCCATACTTTCTTGGAATACACTTGACGCCATCGCAAAAGGCGACAGCACTTTCATAACGCATTTTGAACTACAAGTGCCGTTCCCGCGTATGTCAGCGACTCGGTTATTTGTCGAATCAACAATATCATATGCCGCGCGTGGCGCAAACACAACCAGATTATATAATACTGATTACATATACTACATAATATTACTATATACATATGGTTATAAAGATTACTAAACATTGTGAGAGAAAAATGGTTGGCCTCGCTCCAACAGTACAAAAACTATAAAGCACCAAAGGAGGACATTAGATGCCACAGCAAAAAATATGTGACCAAGGAACAAGGCAAAGGAAAGTTTCAGGAAGGCAATGGGCTGGAAAAATACATGTGAGTATAATGGCTGAATATTTATAAAAGTGATTACTGCGAAAGGCAAGGACAAAATTTACCGTTCTCTAATTTGTCTTCGTCATGATCAAATTTTAGCAGGCTTTTCACCATAAGAGCCGTCGAAAATCAATAACCCCAGATCCACCCACCTTCCCCTCCCCCACCCCCGGCAAATTGGGTCGAAAAATGTGCACACAAACGCATAGCTCAGCCGCCGGCACATCAGACAAAGCTCAAGGTGCTGCGTTAGATATTCTTGATCATAATAAAAGGTAATTGAAATTTTACAGTCACTAGCCCTGCTGAGACTACGTGATAATACATTTTTACGGTGCTGTTCAAGGCCCTGGAGGTAAGTGTTATAAGGTCCTGCTGTTTCCAAAATTGACGCTTCGTATTTATACCAGCAATGTTCTTCGCACCAATAAGATTCGACATTTTTGAAACCACTTTTGTCCACACGCACCACAGAAAATAAGCACAAATTCAGCTGATATTATTACAGCTTCCACTCGTGTATTGTTCTCTTCGACTTGAACAAACAGTATTTACCACCTTGTTTATAGAAAATCATAATATCTGCCTATGTTCAGCAGACACGATGTAACCGCCGATGGCGTATGATCATGTTCGAATCTCGGAAAGCGGACAAACGAACTGAAACGAATTATTCCCTCGCTGCTATTACGCTTATCATTTATTGGATATGTCTAGGAACACTATATGCCAAAGTATAAAATGGCTGTACAGGTCCGCAAATTCCAGTATTTCGCTAGCGAGCACAACACGATTCATTTGGCAACGGTATCCATCCACAATAGCGCAGGAGACTACGTACCGCCGCAGAGCATTGGCAAAGCAGGCTCCGCCTGCGCGCCGCCTATCAGAGCCATATGGCTTAAGCTGTTAGTCACATCGATTTTGCGGATATAATACGACGGATGAGCGACGTGAGATCAGCCAAGATCATCAATATCATCAACGGCTTCATGTCCATTATGGCTATCACCCGTATACCGACGCGACGATGTTTTTCACTTACGTACCGGACCATAATGGAAACAGCCCATGAGTGCATAAGGTTCGCACAGTTTTGCAACTACCGCCAGAAATTCGTTATTACTCTTCGTAGTGATCTAATGCGTAACGTAGTACACTCTTATAGCACTTCTGGTTAACCGAGACAGTTAGAAATAAATAGATAGTTATAACAGACGTGATATACATCCATGAGACTTTCAAGCTAGAACACAGTCCCAAAGTCTGCCTGCTGTGCTCTTCCCACATCTCAAAATTGATGGACCTGTTCGCCCTGGAAACTAATGGATGCGATACTGCGCCGGTACTAAGCATTCGGTCGCACAGGGATCCACTAGCTGCTAGCGGCTGCATACTGTCTTAGGACGTTCCCGAATGCGGTCAGCAGTGCGCCTATACGCGGACGGAACTCGCGCTGCAAGATCTGCGGCTCTAGCACTGACCAGCACTTCGGGTCAACATTTCCTTTCGGCAACGCTTCTCTAGTATCCCGTCTCATCTGGTTAGGGTTACTGGTTAGGGTTAGGGTTAGGATTTTTTGCATCATTCCTTGATATACGGAGTCTGTGCATCAGTTGATGATACACAGAAATCTGTGCATCACTTCGTGATACCTAAGGTGCCTAAAGTGGATTTGCACCCATAAACCCTATGAGCGGGAGTTACGGGCCAAAGAACGCACAGAGTAAATTTATACTCAACTTCAATCAACACGACAACAGTAGAACATGAGGCAGGACGCCGCCTTATTTGCTATACGTGACAAGTACATTTAACAGAATATGTAAGCGCTGTCTGAGACACTTTATGGGAAATTTTACCATTGTTAACCACACTATCCGATGTTATGGTTATGCGGTGACAGGAATAAAAATACAAAATTGAAAATGGCGTCGCCCAGCCGACTCATCGGAAGTTCGGAACGGCTAGAATTTAGAAACCTTCCCTTGCACCAACGAGAACAATTTCATGTGCTAGTTGAACTGACATATGATGACTACAATATTGTCACACGCCCAATGATCCACAGTTTTATTTTCTTACTTACCATTTCGTTACAGTGCTAAAGAATGGTGACAAAGCTTCCGTGAATCTTCTGATTTTCTGTCCAGCGGCAGGCTCTGACAAGGAAAGGGCGGAATGTGACACGCAGGAATTCTTCCGCAGCTAAGGCAAAGTCACACCAATTGTGATTGGCTAGTTCGTTGGAAGTAAATTCTAGGTCGGTGAATTCCTGACCAATGAATGGTCTTGTCCGTATCTGTAGGATGATTCATAATCGTCTACCATAGCTTTATATGGCAATACGGGTGTGTATTTAGTGCCTGATGAAAGTAGGTACATAGAAACAAAATTTTAGCGCAAAACTTCATTTAAATCAAACCATTTCCTGTACTCTTTTTAAATATACGACATAGTAGAGATCTATATTTTGCATTGACACCGGAAGAAGTATAACATGTTACATGTGCTAGGGCGCGCCGATCCCCTTCCCTGGCATCCTGTTGTCGTTCACGTTGGAAACTTGGACGGGGCTTTAACACCATAAATGGTTTTGTACTCGTAACTTGACAGCACTTTGCATTAGTCAGGATTATCATTCTGAATCGACTGCAAGGTCGAAAAGACAACCAACCGTTTTGCCCTTCACTCTTCAGTTGAACGTCAATGACAAATCAAAATGGTGCATATATTTGATAATGATATAAAGTCTGGAAGTGTCTCACTTCGTCAGTTCAACTTCATGCCCATATATGGTAAATTTTTTTTTACAGTTTGTCGAACTCGAAACTGTTGTTAGTGTTGCTGATAGGGTCTATGTCTCCCTGGGTACGGCCGGAACGTACCCTGGTAACTATCTGATATGGTTTAACTAAGTAGTAAGGTTTGACTTTGGGTTAGACCGTTACTGCGTTAGGGAGTCTAGACTCGTTAGAGTAGGTGAGGTACGGTCCGGCATATTATTAGCTCATCTGACATAGTCAGATGCAGCTTGTAGAATCGCTTGATCGTCCGTGCGTCCGTCCGGGCGTCAACAGTTGGGCACAAATCTTAACCGCTCGACGTACGGTCACGATATTCGGGATGTGGGGGGGTAATCCGAAAACGAGTTGGGATGTCGAAGCTGGGGGTCAAAGGTCAAAGGTCAAGAGGTGTAAAAGAAGGGGGAACATTCACTCCTTAACTTAAGGTATAGGGAGGAAATGCAGAATTGCGGCACAAATCTAAACGGCTCGACCTAGGCTCGTGAAAGTTGGGGTATAGCTTCAAG